TGACCCGGCAGAGCCCTCCCCCCCATCCACCAGCCTCTGGATCCGGATCCCTCGTCAATAGAGGATCTATTTAATGTCGCTACAAGGCGCCGACATAAAATGTTTGTGTTCCTTCAGTTTAACAGGATTCCGTTTTGTTACTTCTGAAAATGGAGGAATAATAACAGAACTAAGTGTTGCTAAAAGGCAGATTTGCGTACTAACTGGTCGTTACATTTACTTGAGTAACGTTTTGGGAAAAAAGTATTTTTGAAGTGTATTTTTTTTACAATGTTGTTCTTTTTACTTTAGCTCTAGTAATTTTATTATGGAGTATCGTTACTCTGAATTGAGTGTCCAAAGTGTGGCCCGGGGGCCATTTGTGGCCCTTGAAATGATCTTGATCTTGTTTGGCCCCTGACCCCAACTCAGGATTGGTCAAAAAAAAAAAAAGGTCAACCATATACAGATTTTTTAAAAGTTGTGTTTATTGTTGAGCAGGTAAAACTGATAAGAAAAATAAATAAATAAATACAAGAAATAGCTCAATCCACTCATTTTTGCACTTTTTCATTTTTTTATTTTTTGTTACATTTTAGCATTAGATATCCCACTGTGGTAAAATATGACCAACGTATGCTGCTGTAGCCATTTTTGTAAAGCATTTGTCATTAAGAAATTAGTTTCTCTTTAATGAAAGATAACATGTATTGGAGAATAGCAGCAGCGCTTGCACCAGAATAGTCAGATAACAGCTGGTTATAGTTTGTTGAAGGGTTTCATTTAAGCCCACCATGACTGTCTTTAGTGTAAATTTGTAGAGTTAGCAAGCAGAAAACAAACTATGAGATTCGTATATGCATTTTGGGTTGATACATGTCAACTCAGATTCACCTTTAAGTGTAATTTGATGACTGAGTCCATAATCAAATTACAGCTTATATCAACTCACTTTGCTGATTTTTTTTTGTTTTGTTTTTTTAAACAGTTGTTCAAAAAAGGTGACTCATCACCAGATTTAGTTTGCGTGTGAAACGAGAAGGCCTTCATGCCGCTCTCTAAATCCGTCTTTTAACCTCCTTCCTATTGGGAAGCCAGCAGCTGAGGAACAGCGGCGGCGTTCAGTGCAGATTGTTCACATGCTGAAGGTTCCTTCGACTGACGTCCAACATGTCTGCCAAACTTCGCTTTGTTTCCTCAAGTGTTTATGGCTCCACCGTCTTCCATCCTCTACTTTGGCCTAATTCAATAGAATTATGTGACGGAAAAATTGGAGGTCGGCACCGGCTCGGGTAATAAGAATGGTGCGAAACAAAAACTTTTGTGCTTCCAGCTACCGTTTACACGGCCGTGAAGGAGAGTTGAGTGGACTATTTTGAGAGTGTTGAGACTAGGAGGGGAGCAACTGGTGCCAGGCCTCCCAGTGCCCTCTTATTCCTGCTTGTCGGTCAGTGGGGTTTGAATGCTGTGTAAACACAAGGGAAGTCTCATGACTCGATCAGGGAGTTTCTGCATAAACACATGTTGGTATTGTCAGGAACAACAGCCTTGATGTTATCAGAAGTTCCTGGGATCATTGTTACTCCGACTGACCTTCGGCTCGAGAGTCAGAGCGGAACAACAGTGGTCTCCAGTGAAAGTACTTCGGCTCACACAGACGACGAATCAGTCATCTGTGTGAGATCTGAGTGGACTTTGAATCTCTGGGCTGCAGTGATTTACCCAGAATGCCCAGGAAAATGCCTTCAGATTTTCCCTATAGCTGCAGTATGTAACTTTAGTTTAAAAAAAAGACAGAAATTGTTATACATATTTGTTGAAACCGTCACCATATTGTGACGGTACAGTACGGGACAGATAATCTGTGGGAAAAAAATTGAGTTTGTCCGCCTTGCTAACAGGAAGCAACCAATCAGAGGCTGGAGGCGGGTCTTAGCACAGTCAATCGTGCCATGTGCGTGCTGCTAAATTAGGATGGTGCAACTCATTACATGTTTTTTTCATGTCGATAAAGAAAAAGACAAAAACCTTAAAATGTTTCCCAAAAGAAAGTCAGTTCTTTCAAAACTAGAGCACTGGTTTAGAAAAACCATGTCCATTTAAAATTTGAGTTTGAAAAAAAAAAAACCCATAATGTGTCATAAAGGCAGGAAGATTTTATACCGACTGTGAAGCATGGAGACGGAGGAGTAATGACTTGGAAAAGCTGCCAAGATGTTTTTGTCAAACAAATAACACGGTCATGTGTTTTTGCTCATCTGGTGTCTGCATATGCCTGGTGATGAACAGACTGGTGTCTCCTGCCATCCTGACAAGAGACACCTTAAAAAACCCGCCTCCTTCGCCGTTCATTGTCTGCCGGGCTCCTGAACATTCCCGGCTCTTTCTCTCTGGTTGCCCCCAATTGTTGTAAAAGAGCCGTCAAGGACTTCCGTCTTTACGAGGTGCGATGAGCAGTCGGATCTCCTTTCAAGGACGGAGGTTCAACACATTCCTGACTGGTCGGTCGGCCTGATTTGAATCTGTTTTCACAGGCAGGCGGCGCAGACAGACGCCATCTTGTTTGGAATTCCAGTCCCTCTTCACCGCCGACCGAGGCCTTCACTGCGGACATACCAGAAGGGGTTTCAAGGATGGCAGCCGCTTGTCCGTCCTTCGTATGGCGTTCTTAAAATATAATCGCTGCTACTCTGTAGCAACTTTTACAGATTTCTGCTGTTTTCAGATCTGAAACAGATCAGATAAAAATAACCTGAGACACGGAAAGCAGTTTTCAACGATGGCATTGCTTAAGCAAAAAACTATCCAAACAAACATAATTTTATGTGAAAAAGCAACTGACTCCTATTTTTTAGATAGTTGACTTCAATTATCCAAATTTTTTGGTTCCAACCTGGCCTGGTAAAAACCAGTCACTTCTTCCACGGTTTGCTTCGTACAGGGCGTCTATTGAGAACCGATTGCTTGTTTTTACAGCATTTTACCCAATTGCTGCAATAATAGTTGTTACTAAAGAAGCTACCAGCAGAGGGCGCTCGAGGATCAGAATTCGTCCAAAAAGAGACAGAAATAAACAGCTAGCTGAAGCTAGCATAAGAGCACTTTCGGATGTTTCTTAGAAGAATAAGAACATAGCGATCGCTAACGTTTGGGTGTGACGCAAGTATGCTGGAGGGTCTTAGCGCTGTCAATCACTCTTGTTTTCACCCTCCTCCTGCTCACTTTTTGCCAAGCTACAGCTGGCTCACCAAAGTTAGCACAGCGACCACAGCAGCAGATGAATGCTTTTCCTGAGTTGTTTTTCTACCATGCCATTGTGCAGAGTGATTGACAGCGCTAAGACCCTCCTCCTGGCTCTGATCGGTTGTTTTTGACCAGGAGTGGTAAAGTTTTGCAGGCTGTAATTATATCACTTGTAGAAGGTGGAGGAGATTGATTTTTTTTTTCCCACAGACAAACCATCTCCTTCCATAGCATCATGACATGGTGATAGTTTTAATTGACATGGGGTTTCTTTTTTTTTTTTTTTGTAAAAGTTTCATACTGCAGCTTTAATGGCAGCAAAAACGGATTAATTGATCACATGAAATTTACCTTTAAGTCTGTATAGGTGTCTTTCCCAACGACCTCTTGAGCCAGATTGGGGGCGACATTAGAGTCAGGCATCGCTGACTCAGCCTGAGAGTCACCGGGCCGCATCAAGTGTGAAAAAAAGAGTTGGGCCATGACACCACCATGGTAATAACACGGGCAGGAACGGCGTAACTCGGCGAGGAGGGGCGAGTCTGCAGACGAGCTGAGAAAGTGTCAGGCTTTGGTTTAACATGGACAGAACGTCTAATTAAATGAAATATTTCCCCATCCTGAAATTCAGAGTTTTGATTGTAGAGTAAACTAACAGGGGAGGCGGGTGGCAAATTTATAACCTCAGCTACGTACTGAGGACTTTCTCAGAAACATAAAATAATCATGTGGTGTTCTCATATTCAGAAACGAGTAAGCCAAGCGAGAGAGTCTGGAGAGTTTTAAAGAAAAAAGAAACAAAAACATTTTACTCCTGAAAAGCATTAAAGAGTCATAGAAAAAACTGAAACTAGAACTGTTTAAAGATTAAGCGAATACATGTGCATGACCATATGGTCTGACTGTCACTAAATAAATAATTCAGCAAATTGTGATCTAAAATCTCAAAAGCCACATTAGGTTTAAAGCTCATTCTGGCCTGAAGAGACTAACAGGGTTTGTAATGTCCCGTTTTCTGTAGAGTTACACGGTTCAAAATGTCAACAAGTCAATAATCAAGAAGTGTTAGAAAGCTGTTTCTTAATCTTAGCTATATTAATGGGATCTAGCTAAGGCCTCTGATTTTGTTACATTAAATTGATCAGATTTTTTTTTTAATTCTCATTTGATAAGATTTTATTGATTAGATATATTTCATTTCTTCTATGATTTTACTGATGCTGCTACATTAGCCACTACTGCCATGGAGAATACCTGCATTTTTTTGTGACATAAAATGGTCAAAAATATATTTGCTAAATTAATTGGAAAATAGATCAGACACTGAAATGAAATAATCTTCATTGGTGTAGACAGAGAATGTGCATAGGACAAAATGAAACGTGTTAATATCGTTTTTGGAACATTGCTGTGATGTAGCAAATTTTAATAACCTTGTCCTGGAATGTAAAAAAAAAAAAAAAAATCTTTGGTGGAAAATAATTGTACACAAACAGACACAGTAAAAAAAAAGGTAGACTTTAATCAATTACACAATATAAATAATATATTAATCTGGCCTGCCATATTTGTTTTATTTGTTCATTTTAATTTAATTTCACATCTGAGTTCTGCAAAATGAGAGAAGTTGGGACAACAGCAACACAAACTAAAGGAACAGTACAAAGAAACAAAGCAACATCAAACTTCCCTTATATATACAGATGTATATATAAAATACATCTTGCAACTAACATAAAATACTCAGAACACAGGATAAATAATTTCTTTTTACAGCATTTTTTTAGATTAGGTTAGCTTTAAGGAGCTACTTTAAAATGAGCATTTCAGGTATAAATCACTTCTGTTGACATTCATCCATCAGATAATTAACGGCTGACGACATCACATTCGTCTGGATCATGAGAAAAATGACGTGCAAAAACCAAGCAGAAAGCATCGGAGACTCTCATACATGTCATGTTGTACGGACATCAGAAACGTAAAAAAAAAAAAAAAAAGTTCATAAAAACATTATTAATGTTCCCTGCTGTTAACATTCACAGGTAAAATGAACCAAGTGCAAATAGGATCCTTCATAATGCCTCCATGTTGTCTCCATCTAAGCCCACGGCCCCCAGGCTCCGGTGGGGCCCGGGTCACATTGGGGGTCGTCGTCGGGGTAGTTTATGGGGAGCGCGGTTTTCTGGTGCTCTTGGAGTCTGGTGAGGAGGTAATCCACCACGTCAGGGAACTGGGCCGACACCTCGTTCCTCTCCTCGGGATCTTTTTCCACGTCGAACAGCATGATGGGCTTCAGCGGGCCGAGCTTAGGGACCCCAGAGTTTGACCCGTTGTAGCCGGGTCGGGGGAACCAAACCTCGCAGCCTGGGGAGGTAACGAGGTAGAGGACATGCTAGTAGCAGCTAAACGTGTTATACACTTAAAAAAAAAAAAAAACAAAAAAAAAAAAACTCAATCTTACCAAGTATTTTTGGTCTAGTTTCTACTGCTAACTTCTTATTACAGTTGAAATAAGATAAAACTAACGTAAAAGTAACTTTTCAGCAAGAAATAGGTCAATAAGAAGTATTTTTTCATAAATATTAAAGAATTATTTACTTAAAACAAGTCACTGAAAGGTTATCTATGAGTCAATTTGATCTTATTTCAAGTGTACTAACTAATTAGGACTAGAAACTAGACCAACAATACTTGGTAATGCATTATATGTGTTTTAATGCAAGATCCTCTCAATAAGCTTCAGTATTTACACATTTTGGCTAATCGTAGCATCTTAGAAGCAAGTTAGCTTCTATAACCTTCCGACTGTCCTGAAGTTGCTAATAAAGCAAGCTAGCATTAGCTTGACATCTAATATTAGCTATGAAGCTACAGAGCTGGAGGACCTGCCAGGTTGTTACAATGTTTACAACACAAAGTCGTTCACTGTGGAACTTTTTCTGATGTAACGTCATTTGATCTTTACCTACGTTTCACTTTTTAAACACATTGTTTATAAAGACTGATGAGGTGGTCCTGCACTTATTTTTTCCCCTCTGTAGTTGGTGGTGAAAAAAATAATTGATGTTCGTTGTTCTCCTTGTAAACTGCTTTTTAAGGAGTCAGACGTTTGGACAGTTTCCTTATCAGCAGGTCTGACAAGGTTACAAGATGTTCTCACAGAATGTGACAGAAACCAGATTAGAAAAGACACAATGTAAAAAAAACAACAAACTCCCCAGCAAATATATCTCCATTTAACACTGTTTTCTCAGAGTTTCCCATTACAGGTCAGTTAGAATTACCACAAAAGTATTTTTATTTGCTAAATGTCAGAAGAATGAGAAAGAGAGATTTGGTTAAATAAATATTTTCAATAAAAATGTTGAAATGAAATTCCATCGTTTTCCAGAATCCTGCATAGCACAAATCCGGGACAAACTTCCAGAAAACTGGAAAACTGCTGAAACGCTGAGTTCCACCTGAAGTGTTTACTTTGACAGTGACTGGAACATCGATCAACATATGTGCTGCGTATTGATGATGGTATTTGATTAAATGTAATATTTGCTTGTTTTGTATGATGTTACTCTGGTGCAAAGCACTTCGAACTGCCTTGTTGCTGAAATTTGCTGTACAGATAAACTTGACTAGTTTAAAACATGTCAGGAAGGAAAATAAGGATCGTTGTGCCAACACTTTCACCCACAAAAGGCCGAGTTTTCTACCAGAAATGAGTGAACATGAAACGTAAATGCCAGTACAGACGCTCTACTTGTGTCCGACTTTCTGCCTTCACTTAGACTAAACGTGTCATTACCGGTGACAAAGAATACTGACCTGGGTATCCAGTCAGCAGCTTCCAGTTTGAGGATCGGATGGCGGCGTGAATGGACACATTGAAGCCGAACTTGGCCCAGCGGTCTTCAGCGACCCCCCGGGCCAGAGTTAACTGACTCTGGTTGCCAGGACCTGCGGGGAGAAGACAACAGAGCTGATACTTCACTTCATCCACCTTCCAAAAACAAAAAGAAAAAAAAACATTCGAAAACGCTGACCCAGAGGATATCAGACCACCGGCAGACACAAAGCCCCTTCTGTGGGTGTCTGTGTTAATCCAGACGGCACGGAAGAATGGCACCGAAGCTGAGCGCATGCCTGAACGTCGCAGTCGGTATCGAATGAAGGCGTCAAAATAAATAGACAGAAAAAAAGGAGGGGGGGGGGGGACGGGTGACGAAGAATCAGCAGAGGAAAAGCAAAGTGGTTTAAAACAAACAAAGCTTATTGAAATCCCTCCCGTTTAAAAGGATTTGTGTTATTTTTCCACAAAGCTGATGACGTTTCCTGATGTTCCAATGAAATGTCTGTGAAAGATTAATTTTTTCCCAAAATACAACAGGAATATAGTCGAATAGTGCAGTGGGAGGGTCTTCTCAGCCTAGCTAGAGCGTAGCGAGATGCTAAGAAACATCTTTTGGTCTTCTGGAGTTCACATCCATCAACGTGTCTTCATTTACCAAAACCAGACCCGTCACAATAACAACGTTTGCTGGACGATAAATTGTCCCAGAAGTTATTGGGATAAACGATATTATTGTTTTGAGACCACTTTTAAGTAATATGATGATAGTGGTATAATAGCACAAGGACACATTCTCAAAGATCAACATGAACATTTAACACAGGAACTGGAAGACATTTTAAATATTCAACATAAATAAACAAAAAACAAATAAAACAAATTATGAAGTCTCTGTAAACAAAAAGTGTTAGTTGAGACCAGACTGAAAACTTTTGCCGTCCAGTTTAGTTAGAAAAAGAGAAAAAGTATAAATCATGCAAATGTAAATTATTGAACTAATTTCAATTGATCAGTGATTAATTCATTTATTTCTTACTGTGATAGGCCTAACCAAAACTAAAGTTCAGCTGATTTTCCTGATCTTTGCATCCTTTGGGTAACTGTAGTATCAGTCAGGAGAGGGGTACAAAAAAAATCTGCCTTTGATTCACACAGCTGTTAGTGTTCTGTTAAATGACAAATAAGGTGGGTAACATTTTAAAAACAGGGACATCTTGGGTATGTTTCTACGCTCCTCTTCATTGTTTTTAATGTATTTTTGAATTAATGGGTTGGGATTCGTTATCAAAATCAAAGGACTTGGACTTGTGAGGCAACACAATCTGATCCGGACATCCTCAGCAAGGTTACCCACACACACGTGGGCGGGCGGGCGGGCGGGCGCACGCACGCACGCACGCGCACACACACACACACACACACACACACACACACACCATCAATAAGCAATTATTTTTAATTGGTAGGCAATCTTTGACGAGAGAAATTGTAATAGGCAGGATTTTCCTCAAACTTGGAGCATTTAAATGTAGAAATCTGACAAATGGCGGTGATGTGGTCGAGTCAGCACCAGTCTTCTACGCCTGCCAAGCACAATGAGTAATTCACCATGAGTGCAGCTCCACAGATACGATGAAAAATTACAGCCGCAGTCACCAGTTGGCAACACTTTCTCCGCTTTCACGAAGCAAAAGTCAATTATTTGTCCTTGTATTGACAATGTCCAGGATTTTCAGGAACCTCCAACAGTGAGCTTTCTCAGCCGACGGGGAAAAAAATATCTCCCAGAAAGGGAGCACACATGTCTGTGATTTCCAAGAGAAGCAAGGGAAACCTGGCCTTGGAGCATTCCCAGGTTCATGCCGCTGCTGACCCCAACAATGTGCTCCTGATTAGGCAGATTTGCAAGTGATCTCAGCCTCACGGCGCTGAAAGAGCAAAGAAAAAAAAAAGAAAAAAGAAAGTTCTTCCTCGCGTTCTTTGCGTATGGACAACGCCGCAACCCACGCGAAGCCCGTCCACCGCAGTAACATGACTCGAGAGTCAAAACATTTCCGATCTCAGCGTTTCTGAACCACATGATAAAAGCTACGACATTCAGCTCTTCACTCTTCGTTGCGCAAGTGACATGCGGGCATCTTAATGGCTCTCACATGCATTCAGCCGGGCTGCTCAACGGGGAGAGGCCTGCGAACTAAACAGGCGCTGTTGCACAACGGAGTGGTATGTGCAGTGCCTTACAGAAGTATTCATAAGCCTTCAGTTTTGTTTTCAACCACAAACTTTAATGTATTTTTATTAGGATTTTAGGTGGCAGACAGAAACAGGCCCATAATTTTAAAACACAAAAACAAAGAGTAAATCCAGCTGTGAAGGCCTCAGAGGTTTCCTGGAGAACATTAGTGAACAATAAGCTAAACGGAGCTGGTGCTGCGTTCAATTCCCACTGCCCAGTTGGAAAAAACAACTGGAATGCCACCCAAAGTTGGACCCCTAACCCATACAGTTAGCATATTTAAGGCCGACTTTAGGGTTCAATATGGCCGCTTCTCGCTTCAATAGTAATATGTGTTGGAGACATGTTTATTTTACAAGACACACTCATAATAGTGCGTGTAAAGTCAATGTCACCGTAATATCCGGACTACTAAACACACCTGAATATGAGCCGCACCATCAGTAAAAGTTCTGTCCAAATTTGAACTGTGAAATTGTAGCAAAGCTTGAACAACGATGATCAAAGACTATCTACATCTGAGCTGGGGTTTCTGCTGGTTTCACCAACTCAAATTTAAGACCTTTTTAAGACCATTATGAATGAAATTTAAGACCTGCGTCACGACAAACGTACAAAGGAAAACTGCAAAGAAGCAAATTGTATCAGTTGGCAACAGAAGTGAGCAAACCAAATCCTGCTGATAAACTTTGCACTTGCCCATAATGGATGTAAAAAGGTGAGCTAATTAGCCCCTAGGGCAGGGGTGGCCAAGTCCAGTCCTCGAGAGCCACCATCCTGCAAGTTTTAGAAGTATCCTTACTCCAACAGACCGGGATCAGCTCTACAGAGGCCTGATAACGAGCCAGTCATTTGATTCAGGTGTGTTGAAGCAGGGATGCATCTGAAACTTGCAGGATGGTGGCTCTTGAGGACTGGACTTGGCCACCCCTGCCCTAGGGTATATTAGCAACTAACTACTGGTAGCCACAGCCGCAGTGAACGCAGGATCAAAGTTTTGAGTAACAGTAAAGTTATGCAAGAAAAAAGGAAACTACATAGAATATATCCAATTAAATAGTCCTGCCACAACAAAATTTAAGACCTGTGAATACCATAATTAATGCCAACTTATTGTTTTTCAATGGATTTAAGACATTTTAAGGCTTGAATTGAAGACTCTTTCAGAGTCAGCGGACACAATGTAAGCGAACTGAGCTTGAGCTATTTTGGGAAAAAAAAAAGACGAGCACGTCAAAACGATCGTCTCCAGATGTGAAAAACTGGTAGAACCCAAACACTTGCGCCTGTGGCTGCAGTGAGACGGTTCTGGAAAGTATCGACACAGGAGGACTGAACAGAAATGCACTCCAACCTACTGAGATTTTTGTTTCTCAAAGTATCTGAAGCCCATTTATCATTTCCTTCCACTTCACAGCGATGCAGACCGACTTTTCTGTTGGACTGTCACATACCGTTCCAATAAAATACATTAGACCTCGAGACAAAATTCAAGAGGAATAAACACTTTTTTTTGTGTGCAAGCAGGTGGGAACATAAATTATGTGAGCTTTACTGGTTTTGATTTGTTTCCTGGTGCTTGAGCTCACGCTAATTTAAGGAATTTGGGCCTCCAACGGTTTTCCCCACATGTCCACGTGTTAAAATCATTCCACGGATGGGCTTGGGAAGACGATACGCTCTTCTAGACCCACGGCAGACGCTCTGCGAGAGGAGGAGCGAGTAGAGCGAGGAATATTTTGAATCAGAGAAACAGCTAGAGGGGAAAAAGCTGAAGAGCTTTGTAGGGAAATCTGGGGGTGTTACAAGTCTTGGGTCAAGTCCAAGACTTCTCTCCCCACACCACCTCCTTTGTGCCTCTCCCAACAATTGAGAGCGTCGGGGACCCCTCTGTGACACATTTAGTCGACATCCCCTCTGCGAGAGCAACAGGAAAAGGAATTTTTTTCAAAGCCAACTTGAAAGGAGGAGAGTATGTCGGGGGGGAGAAAAAAATAGAACCCTTTTCATGAATTAAACCCAAAAAAAACCAAAAGAATGACAAGAGACTGAGAGGAAAAAGGGGAAGGAACTCAAAGTGAGAAGCAGCCTCAATAGGAGAGGAATCCCAAAACCAGGAATGCTAAGAAAGGGAGGCTTGTTGTCGGTTTGGTGGCTGACAAAGATTTCAACATGAAACACGATGGCGTAAGCTTGTAAAGCTGTAGTGTTGCTCTTCGCCGCCTCAGTGATTTATATAGTAATGGTCACCAGTAAACTTTGAGGAGAATCCCAGGCACCATGGGATTTGGCTCCATTAAACGGAGTCGTCAGCAGCCGGACTTCCAACATTTTGTTCAGCCGAACTCCGGCTAATTACCGTATACGCTTGCTTTTGTAGGTTCGGCCGATTCGAGAGGTCAGGAGTTCAAGCTTTCCTCCCAAATCTTTGGAGATTGTCAGTCCAGAACGCAACAGAAAAAAAAAATCTCTTTTTTACATGTAAAGATCTGAAAAGTTTTGGAAGCAAGTACAATTTGAAAACAAGTTTTAAGCAGGTGTTAAACATACTTTTGATTAAAAATAGTTATTTTTATTGGGCTGATGAAATATTCAAATTTTTAATGTCTCCTTTTCATTACCTGCAAGTGAAAAATAAAGAGAAATAAAGGTGTTAAAACATCAGTTTTGTCTAATTAATCTATATATATTGTGATAGAGTTACTGAAATAAATTGACTTTTCAATAATCATCTAATTTATTGAATATTGAATGGGTGTGGAGTGGCAGAATCATGCTGTGGGGGTGGGGGACACTTTTCTTCCTTAGGAACAGTGAAGCCAGTCAAAGTTAATGGAAAGTAGAGTGTAGAAACACGAGAGCCACAGGTAT